TCCAATGGGAATTACTCCAAAATTCATCCATTTGGTCCTGTTTTGCTCCAGAGGAATTCGAAAGTCCTGTATTGAAAATACAATTCAAAGTATCAAAATTCTTTCAAAATATTAACCAAAATATACTAAGATTAGGGTAAAATATATAATATAAAATCTACTCATCAAAATACCCCCAAACTTAGCTTTTTGCTTGTCCTCAAGCAAAACAAGACTCAAACAAAAGTAAAAACTGAACAAACTAGACAACTAGCTAAAATTAACTAACAAAAATTTCACCTTCAATTTGCAATCCATAGAAAATTTTAAAAACTAGAACATCTTTTCAAAAGTTCCAACCCATCCCACCACAGAGTCTAAGCCATTTAGAATCAATTAGAAAAGAATTCACAAACTTCCTTTGGTGTTAAGTGAACCAACATAGTTAAGGAGACTCGACTAAAACTCTTACCTCTCGTCCTTCTTTATTTCACACATACTAACTTTAAATATAACTATTTTTCTTTTTCTCTTCAATTTTTGTTTCCTCTTTTTCTTTTATTTTTGTCATATATAACAATTTTTTTTTTTTAGTAACAGTAGTGGTCGTGCAATGTCGGTTACAAAACGGTTTACGATCCAACTTTAGCCCAAAATGTAGCGAGCTTTAGGTCAATGACTCTCAAACACCACTAGGCACTAGGTGTAGAACACCCCTAAGGACTTATGAGCTAAAAGGCCTACCAAACCAAAACCACCTAGCCAAAACTCTTATTGACGCAAGAATCACTGCTGATTGCAAACTGGCCCGGTTACTAAGGCAAAACCTCGGGTAAAAAATTAACTTATTACAAAACCTTTACAATAATTTTTACAATAAATAACTAACTTACTACTTCAAACAAAAAAAAAAATAAACTTAGACTAAAAGCAAGCAAGTTTTCAATCTCACTCCCACAACCCCTGTTGGTGTGATGTGCAAAGTTCAAAGTATAATTCATGAATTAGTGTCTAAGCAACAATAAATAGAAAAGACTCTACTGTGGGATTAATCTTCACTATGTCCATTTGTTCTAAACGTTTAAAATAATCTTAAAAAGAATGAAAATTTTTAACAAAATCCAAAAATTAAAAAAATTTTACTTTCCCACCCCCAAACTTATTTCACACTTTGTCCTCAAGGTGTGGAAAATACATAGAAACTAAAAACAAAAAACAAAAAAAATCAAAACAGAAAAAACCGTGACACTAAAAATTAATGGACAAGACTATAAAAAGAAAATAAAATGAAAGAAAATAAAAAACAAAATGAAAATAAAGGAATGCATAACACCTGGCTTTCTATGTGGAAGGTCATGGTGTGACAACCCTTGGGCCGTGACGAACTACACATCCGTTGGGTTTGAACCCAACCCGCAAAGCAACACGCTAGGAGAAACATTGGATTCCCCAGGAAAATGGCATGCAGCTGGCATGCGAATTTGAAAAGGGCATGTGCTGAACATGTTATGATTGATGGCAGCCAATAAAAAAATACACTTTGAATAAAAACACATTGGATCCCTTTGCTAACCTCGAGCACCGAGCCGAACGACTCTTCTCCCCCTTTAATTCAATCCGAGTCTCTTGAACAGACATGGGAAAACTCCAGCTGTGTACACGTGGCGCGCATCACTGCATTAAGCTCCTTAGGATTCCAAAAGAACGGCCAGATCACTCTCACTTTTCTATTTGTTGGGTGTGAGAAATCCTAAGTCCCTCTCTTGGTATCAGAAAGCACGCTCACACTCTCTCTTGCTCTCAGACCCTATATCTCTTGAAAATGAAAAATAGCCCTCATTCCCTCACATTTTTCTCTCATTTCCCCAATTCATCTCTGCTCTCTTCTTAATGACTCTAAAAAACGCAAAAACCTTCTGTCTCGTTAGAAATTCAGTCTCCTCCTCTCTCATATTTCTCAACCCTCGCAGCCCTTTCATTTCTCGAATCTTCTCTGCCTACAACGGAACAACGCACCCCCCCGGCAGTGTTTCAATAGCCCATCCGTGGTAAAAATCGGAAAAACTGAAAGCCAAAGGTAAAATCATCCTCCAATCTTTTGGTTTCATTGTCAGATTTATTTGTTTTAGAGAAATGGAACAAAATCTAACACATGCATGGCGTTTTATCTGTGTGAGGACCCCCAATAGTTGCAAATCCGAGACAAACAACATAAGGAAAATGCCCCGGGTCGCCATATCTTCTCAACCAAACCATGTTGCTCCCAAGCCTCATGCCATCACGGATTCGAGTTCTAAGCATGTAGATCGAGACCATTTCGCACATACAACGGTAATCATCTCCCACTTAGTTCAAGATACATGTCTCTCAGCTTGCGAAAAATCTCTGCAAGTTATATTTTCGTGATGAGTCTCTGTAGAAGCTTAAACGGATGTTTTTCTGTATTAGGTGCCCGAGAGGCACAAAGAGACTAAAGAGACAGATTTGAAAAGTTCCCAAACTCACGGATCTGCAAATTTTTAGGTAGAAACCGCAACCCTTTTGATTGATTGACTATGATCTGATACTTGAATAATAACCACTACTGTGACTAAAAAATGACACTCAAATCCAGCATACAACCGAGAGACAACAACCTTGAGCTTCCGGTCCAATGGTCCCTGAAGGAAGCAGAAACGACAAATGTCTCGGCCTCTGTAAATAAAGAAGGTAAAGATCTCGTTCTTCTGCTCGACTCAACATTTACATATTCAACTACATTTTATTTATGATGCCATGTTTACCGTGTATGTACTCCCAAAATGACACCATACGAACTGAAAACATACAATCACTTGAATAACTTGGATCTCTAAACTGGTAACAACTGCGAACTAAAACACATGGGCTTTCAGAAAAGAATGAAGTACGCCCTAGATCTGACTCATGAATTGGTTAGTTCTGTATAGATGCTCGTTCTATGTCCTGCATGTATCATATTGGTGCTCTTTGTGTAGGGGTATACAGATCCATGATAGAGCCGAGGGAAAAGAAGTAAACACACAAGCCCATCGGACAAAGACAGCACAGGCCGCATGACCCAGATCAGTGCATCTAGGAGGTAAAATCCGAATCCCTGCAAGTGTAGTTGTTGTAGTTCTGGTAATAATAATTGTACTCAGTTCTCTGATGTATGGATCTGTGATTTAACTGTGCTTCTCCATGCATTGCAAAACTGAGCTGCAGAAAATTAACTGCTCAAAATTATGTTCCTGTGCTGGATCTGCAACAATCACCCCCAAACTTGCATCTGGGAATGACGTTATGTTGACTGCTTTAAATTTCCAGCATAAGTGTAGATGTGGTTAATGTTAAGGTAGACTTGCTGCTGGGTGCAGGATTCCAACATAGTAAGCGCTTTATTTTCCACGTTCGTAACCTGCAATTAACCAATATGCATTAAGAAAAATAAAATGAAATAAACTGGGTAAATAAAATTAACTTGCAATTTTCCATTTTTGAATTTTTCGTTTTTTATTTTTTTTATTTTTTTATTTTTATGTTTTATTAATTTTTATTATATATATATTTAATATATATATTTAATTGAAGAGAAAATCAAACGAAATTTAAAATTAGGAAAGAGTTTAGAAAATTTGGGTTGCCTCCCAATAAGCGCTTTATTTTAAGTCTGTAGCTAGACGTCGCGGAAGTCCGGTGGCTAGATCACTGGTTCCTTCAGAGTCAAAGACTCGTATGCAGTATCAAAGGGTGACTCCACATATGGTTTCAGCCTGTGACCATTCACCTTGAATGGGTTGCCTTGAGCTTCATTAGTTATTTCAACTGCCCCATGAGAAAAGACTTTAGTAACCAAATATGGCCCAGTCTAGCGAGATTTCAATTTCCCTGGAAACAACTTTAGCCGTGAATTGAATAGCAACACCTTTTGCCCTGGCCGAAATTCTTTCCGTAAAATTTGACTATCATGAAACGCCTTAGTTCTTTCCTTGTAGATGCGAGAACTTTCATAAGCACCCTGACGAATTTCCTCCAGCTCATTGAGCTGCAATTTACGTTGTTCCCCAGCTGAGTCATATGAAAAATTTAACTCTTTAATTGCCCAGTAAGCCTTATGCTCAAGCTCCATAGGTAGATGACATGTTTTTCCATAAACGAGTCGAAATGGTCACATCCCAATAGGAGTTTTATAAGCTGTCCTGTAGGCCCACAATGTATCATTTAATTTTAAACTGCAATCTTTACGTGTTGAACCAACTGTTTTCTCCAAAATGTGTTTTAATTCTCTGTTTGAAACTTCAACTTGACCAAATGTCTGTGGATGATAAGGTGTAGCCACACGATGATTAATCCCATATTTTGCCAACAAATTAGCAAATGGTTTATTAATAAAATGCTTCTCCCCATCACTAAGAATAACGCGTGGAATTCCAAAACGCGGAAATATAACCCCTTGGAGGAACTTCAGGACCACTGATCCCTGATTAGTTGGTGCTGCAATGGCCTCGACCCACTTAGAAACATATTCCACAGCAACTAAAATATAGTGGTTCCCATGAGAAGATGGAAATGGTCCCATGAAATCAATACCCCAAACATCAAATAGTTCAACAATTAAAATACCTAGTTGGGGCATCTCGTTCCTTTTGGACTGGTTGCCTACTCTTTGACACGTATCACAAGCCTTGCACCAATTTTGTGCATCTTTAAAAAGTGTAGGCCCAAATAACCCATTTTGCAAAATTTTCTCTGCTGTTCTTTTCTGCCCAAAATGTCCCCCACAAGCAAAATGATGAGCAAACTTTAAAACACTTTCCTGTTCGGGTTTAGGAATACACCTGCGAATAATCTGGTCTGGGCAATACTTAAATAGGTATGGCTCATCCCAGAAATAATGCTTGACATCAGATAAAAACTTCTTTTTCTGCTAAAACATTAAATCTGGATGCACTACACCTTTAACCAAGTAATTAACAATATCAGCAAACCAAGGTGTTCTAATTTGGACTGCAAATAGTTGTTCATCTGGAAAACTCACTTAATGGTAGGGAATCCTCTTCGGAAGCTGTGGGAATAATTAATCTAGATAAATGGTCAGCCACCACATTTTCACTACCCTTTTTATCTCTGATTTCTAAGTCAAACTCTTGCAATAAAAGAATCAAACGAATCAATCGAGGCTTAGCATCTTTTTTAGACAACAAATATTTTAAAGCTGCATGATCTGTATAGACAATCACTTTAGCCCCAACTAAATACGAATGAAATTTTTCCAATGCAAAAACAACTGCCAACAATTCTTTCTCTGTGGTTGCATTGTTGAGTTGTGCATCATTGAGGGTTCGACTAGCATAATAAATAACTTGGGGAAGCTTATCTTTCCGTTGTCCAAGAACTGCTCCCACTGCATAATCTGACGCGTCACACATCAATTCAAAAGGTAAGCTCCAATTAGGGGCTGCAATAATGGGTGTTGTGGTGAGGAGTGTCTTTAACTTCTTGAAGGCCTCCAAACAAGCCTCATAAAAAAGAAAAGGAGCATCCTTAGCCAATAAATTACACAATGGTCGGCTAATCTTGGAGAAATCCTTGATGAACCGTCTATAAAACCCAGCATGGCCAAGAAAAGATCGAACACTCTTAACAGTCGTCGGGGGTGGCAACTTTTCAATTGCATTAATTTTAGCCTTGTCAACCTCAATACCCCTGTTAGAAATCAAGTGGCCTAGGACAATTCCTTACTTAACCATGAAATGACACTTTTCCCAATTTAAAACCAGGTTGGTCTTAATGCATCTTTCAAGAACTATAGATAAATTCTGCAAACATTGGTCAAAAGAATCCCTAAAAACAGAAAAGTCATCCATAAATACCTCAACGACATGTTCAACTAACCTGGTAAATATGCTCATCATGCAACGCTGAAACGTGGCAGGCGCATTGCACAAACCAAAAGGCATTCTTCGATATGCGAAAGTCCCAAAAGGACAAGTAAAGGTTGTCTTCTCTTGATCCTCAGGGGCAACTGGAATCTGGTTATACCCTGAATAGCCATCCAAGAAACAATAAAAAGCATGACCGGCCAACCTTCCCAACATTTGATCGATGAATGGCAATGGAAATTGATCTTTTCTAGTACCCGCATTGATCTTTCTATAATCAACACACATACGCCACCCTGTAGTCAAACGAGTAGGCACAAGTTCATTATTATCATTCTTCACAACTGTAATACCAGAACGCTTTGGCACCACTTGAGTTGGACTAATCCACTTACTATCTGAAATATGATAGATCATCCCAGCATTTAAAAGCTTCATAACTTCATTACGAACAACTTCTTTCATAATTGGATTCAAACGACGTTGAGCGTCAATGGCAGGCTTTACTCCATCCTCCATCAAAATTTTATGCATACAAATTGTAGGGCTGATCCCTTTAATGTCAGCTATAGTCCAGCCAATTGCATATTGATAACTCCTTAAAATGCGCAACAGTTTATCTTCTTCTGCTGATGATAAATCAGCAACAATAATAACTGGCAGCGAAGAATCTGCTCCCAAATAAGCATATTTCAAGTGTTCTGGAAACACTTTTAACTCCAATTTAGGTGGTTGTACCTTAGAAGGCTGCAACAGTTTTTTGGGTTCCCCCAAACTCTAAAAAACGTGCCTCCAACGGGGGGGTTGAAAAGGAACACTTTCCAAAGCTGAAACATACTCAAAAGCCTTTTCATCTTCTGTATTTATATTCTCAAACCCATTCAACACATTTAACAATGGATCATATGTCAAACGTGGCAGAATTTCAGCATGTAATATGCTGTCAAGCACATCAACACGCATACAATCTTGCACATCACCTGGCCTTTTAGTTGCTTCAAATAAACTGAACACAACAGATTGATCTTGCACTCGAAGTGTAAGTGTTCCAGCCTCTACATCAATTAACGTTCGAGCAGTTGCCATGAAAGGCCGTACCAAAATAATTGGTGTTTGCATATCTTCATCCATATCCAAAATCAAAAAATCAGCAGGAAGATAAAGATTATCCACTTTAATAATTAGGTCTTTAATAATTCCCCTAGGATAAGCAACTGAACGGTCTGCTAGTTGTAGAATAACTGATGTAGGCTTGATTTCTCCTTGTCCTAGTCTCTAAAAAATAGAAAAAGGCATTAAATTAAAACTAGCGCCCAAATCAATTAAAGCACATTTAAAATTAGAATTTCCAATTGTGCAAGAAATTGTAAAACGCCATGGATCTTGTTTCTTTGGGGGAAACTTGTGTAGTAGAACAGCACTGCACTGTTCTGTAAGAATCACTTTCTCAAAATCAAAGAGCTTCTTTTTCTTTTTGCAAACATCCTTCAAAAACTTGGCGTAAGACGGAATGTTCTTGATGGCATCAATTAACGGTAGATTAATCTGAACCTTAGACAAAATCTTCATAAAATCTGTCAATTGTTGATCTTTAACTTTAGGCTTCAATCGTTCAGGATAAGGCATAGGTGGCTCATATACACAATCCGCAACAATATCAGCACCATTTTCAGAACTGTTCAAAGGTTGTTCAGAATCTTTCAAATTGGCATATTTTTCAACAATTCCCGAATCTGTTTTTGGCTGTGAAGCCACCTGCGAATGTCGAACACAATTTTCACTTCTATTATCAAAACTTTTTCCAGAACGCAAAAATCTAACTGCCTTGCAATCTGCACCTCCCATTGGATTTGGTTCGGTTTGGCTGGTAAATGTACCCGGTGCCTTTTCTGAAACCTGCAAAGCAATCTGCCCCATTTGTTTTTCCATGTTTTTCATTGCTGCCTGTAGGTTTTGGATTTCTTGCGTGGTAGTATTTGCCAATTTTTCAATTGCAACCTCCCAAGCAGCCTTAGGTGCAGCAGGTTGTTGTACCTGCTGTTGAAATTGAGGCCTAGAGTGCTGATCTTTGTCCCACTTTAGATTAGGATGATCTCTCCAACCTGGGTTGTAGAAATTTGAATACGGGTCATATCGGGGACGCTGAAAATTGTTAAATGCATTAACCTGCTCTGCTATAAAATCTGGACAAACATCCTTATATGGGCAGCTCATAAAATCATGAGTTATCATGTTGCAAATGCTGCAGGCTGCTGTACAACAACCTGTGAATCTGGTAGTCTCTGTAATAACAAGTCAAATTTTGCATCAAACCGTTTCTCCATTTTTTCAATTTGTGCTGTAACATATGGTGAACCATTAGACATCTCAAAAACTGACCTAGATTGTGGCTGCTCAACCGCCCATTGTTGTGTATCTGCTGCCATTTTTTCAAATAACAAACAAGCCTCTTGTGCATTTTTATCTTTGTACGAACCTCCGCATGAAGCGTTGACTAGAGTTTTTGTAGTCATATTCAACCCTCTAAAAAATATATGCATTTGATCAGTAGTGTTAATACCCAAATGTGGACATTTTCTAATCAACTCTTTGAACCATTCCCACGCATCATGAAACTCCTCATTTGGCTTTTGGGCAAAAGATAAAATCTGAGTTCTCATGTCAAGAGTCTTTGAAGCAAGATAATACTTGTTTAAAAAAATTTCACTAAGTTGGGCCCAAGTACTAAAGCTACCAGATAGGAGTATGAGGAGACATCTTCTTGCTTGATCTTTTAGAGTGTATGGAAACAAACGTAGCTTAATAGATTCAGCTGAGAATCCCCTCACCAAAATATTTTTGCATCCCATTAAAAATTCTACAATATGCATGTTTGGATCGTCAGATGATAACCCATGAAATGTAGGTAAAATATTCAGCATGTGCTGCTTTATTTCGAATGTAGACCCTTCCTCCACTGCCGGATAAGTAATGCAACTTGGTATATTTGTGGTATGGGCTGTTAAAGAATCACCCAAAGGCTGACCTGCCTCTGGAATAACGAATGCCATTTTTCCTTTACTGTGCAGATTCCCAGAAATTGAAGACTGCAGAAAAGGCCCCTGCAGAGAAGGAACCCACTCCAAATTTTTCTTCCTGCTTCTCCTTAAAGTCTGCTCAAGTTCTGGATCAAATGGAATCAATTTGTGCACTGTTGAACGGGTGCTAACCATGCACAGATTTCAACAATCTGCACTGCTGTACTGTTATAATCTATAAAAAAATAAAATAAAAATGAAAATTAATTTTTTTTTATATGTATAAACAGCAATAATTATTTGAAAATCTGATTAGTAGGGATTATTTTAAATAATCCCTGGCAACGGCGCCATTTTCTTGATAGGGATTTTACTACTCATGTGAATGCGATAAAAACTCCTATAATACTTGCAAGAATCACAAGGTTGTTGTAATATAAACGGATCTCGCAAGGTCATTCTCCACAGGGATTATTAAATAATTCAAAGCAAACCAAATTCCAATTAGTTATTGTAAAGTATAAATTGAGGTGATTGATTTTATAACCTAATTAAAATAAAAACGAAATTAATTAATTAAAATAAACAATCTGCAATATTAGAACAGGGGTAAAAAAAACAGTTTTTGGGAAAATCAAATTAAGAAAGCACTAGGGTTCCACCATCACCTAGTAATCCTATGAACTTTTACCAATTACTTATGATCTACACATGCCACTTTGAAGGTTAGATTTTCCTAATTCATATTCTACTTGGAACCTCCAATATAGAACGTATATCTAACATGCAACCCATCCGGACGTTCGGATCAAATCTGAACATGAAAGACTCATTATGCTTTATGAAAATCCTTTGAAAAACCATGCAACCCTTAAGACGTGGTGTTCATCCTAAGTGAAATTACAATTATTAAACACAAGAAGCCAGCGTCAATTTCAAGGAACCTTCCGAACAAAATTGCATCAAATTACTTTTCTAAAGATCCTAATGGTGATCAGGCATTAAGACAATTAGATAGTTTTTATCTCGGTGATTAACAATTCAAAGTATGCATGCAATCAATCATAAGCAATTAAACAAAAATCACATATTCATGCTAAGGATCAAGACTTCGCCCTAGCAAAAGAAATTAGTTATGCATATTCATAATTGAAATCATAGAAAATATTATTAAGAAAAGGATTGAAAACACCTTCAAGTAGAAAATCTCCAAAACCCTAGCCCTTCTCTCTGTCTCCAAAATTGCATAAAATAAAACGTAGTCAAAAACTGTAGATGGCCAAGCAATATATTTGCTAAGCCCCCCAACAAACCCTAAAAACAGGTCCTTTATTTCCCTTAGGAAACTAAAATTAATGATCCAAATAAAATAGGAAACATAACCCTAAATTAAATGGTAAAATTCGCCTAAAATCTGAACAGCTACGTTTTGGACCCATATGCTGCTCCAAAACTGGCCCAATATAGCTGGATTTAATGTTTGGAATATTCTGAACACTTCTCCAAAAGGCCACGAACCCATCCGAGGTCATCTTGGGCTCCGAAAACGTCATTTTCCAGCACTGCACACTGCTTCTTTATTCCATCGCCAGAAAATAACTGCTTGGTAGAAAAATCCCAAATTTTGATACGATCAAGCTAAGTGACTCACGAACGTCCTCCAACTGGAATTACTCCAAAATTCGTCCATTTGGTCCTGTTTTGCTCCAGAGGAAGTCGAAAGTCCTATATTAAAAATATAATTCAAAGTATCAAAATTCTTTCAAAATATTAACCCAAATATACTAAGATTAGGGTAAAATATATAATATAAAATCTACTCATCATCCAGTTTTGAGCCTTTCTCTTGCCGTTTCTTAACCAATTTTGTTGGCATTTCTCTAATCCTCTTGTTTACTTCTCTATTTTATTTTATTTTTTCAGTTATCTAAGGATTCAAAGATTCATGGAGGAAATCGATATTCCTTCGCATTTTACCTGCCCAATTTCATTAGAAATCATGAGAGATCCGGTCACGATCTCAACCGGTATAACGTACGATTGAGAAAGCATAGAGCGGTGGTTGTTCACGTTAAAGAATAGCAGTTGCCCAATAAGCAAACAGCCATTGTCCGACGGTGACGCAGATCTCACTCCCAACCACTCTCTCCTCCGCATAATCCAAGCTTGGTGCACTCTCAACTCTTCGCATGGCGTCGAGCGGATACCAACTCCGACATTCAAGGCGAAAGGAACAAGAACTGTTTGAAGGCAGCAGGGGCAATCGAATTTGTGGCCTCCATTATCAACAAAAGTCACTCCGATTCATCTACAACCGAAGTCGCTATTGAAGTCCTTTTTCATCTCAAAAGCTCAGAATCTCGTCTAAAAGATCTCTTGAGCAATGACAGCAACAGTAATAAGATAACGGAGTCTCTGGTCAGAGTATTGAATTGCGGGAATTACCAATCTCGAGCTCATGCAATAATCTTATTGAAGTCTTTTTTCGAGGTGGCAGATCCGGTCCAGTTGATAAGTGTGGACGTTCGGTCATTCCGCCAGATAGTGCATGTGCTAAATGATCAGATCTCACAACAAGCGTCAATGGCGGCATTGAAGCCTCTCGTGGAGCTTTGTCCGTGGGGAAGGAACCGAATCAAAGCCGTCGAAGGGGGTGCAGTTTCGGTCCCCACGGAGGCTCTTCTCGAGATGCAAAAGAAAAGAGCGTGTGAGCTGATACTAATGGCTTTGGAACAGCTTTGTCGATGTGCGGAAGGGCGAGCTGAGCTGTTGAAGCATGGGGCAGGGCTAGCCATTGTGTCCAAGAAAATCCTTAGGGTTTCACATGTGGCAAGTGATCGGGCGGTAAGGATATTGTTCTCCATTTGTAGATTTTCTGCAACTTATGGTGTTCTTTAGGAAATGTTGCAAGTGGGTGTTGTGGCCAAATTGTGTTTGGTGCTTCAAGTGGATTGTAGGTTTAAATCAAAGAAGGCTGGGAGGTTCTTAGCTTGCACTCTAGAGTTCGGAAGAATTCTTCATGCATTCCTGTCCATTTGCTGCCCTTTTATCCATCTTCATCTTCATGATGCTCATATCTTCTTCTTATTTTTTATTTTCATCAAATCATTAATTCTCCCTGTATCGAATTAATTGTGTACATCAAACATACAAATACGGGTGTTTTGGGCATCGAAAATTTTTAAATGTGTAAAATTAAATATACCTAACGAATTTATTGATGTGGATATTTGAGTAAAAAACTTATATCGGGTTTTATGTGAAGAAAATTAAATTTCAAGAGTTAAAATTATATTTTCAGAAGAAGAAAAAAATGTATATAATTTTGTTGTTGGGTCAGGTGCATGCAGCTCATTGGTTTTGACTTTTGAAGTACAATTGGATTTCAATTCATTTAAGGATGGGTTTTTATCACAAATGGCCCTTAAAATTGACTCATCCCATCAAGCTGGTCCCTGAAATTGAAAATTAATCAATGTAGTCCCTGAAAATGGATGTTCCGAATCAATATGGTCTTTCTGTCACAATTCCATCAAAAAAATTGTTATGTGCTGATGTGGCACATAACTGGGTGACAAACCCCGACCCAAAAAGTCAACTTGGACTCCAAATCGAGTTGTGATGGCCGACACCAAGAGGGTGACGAAGCCATAAAGTATAGTGATGTGGGAAAAATGTGAATAAATTTAAATCTAAAAGTGTCTAAATAGGAGAGTGCGCTGTGAGCGAAAATGAACTCATTTCATACGTGATGTCAGAGCATAAGTGAAGTATAGTAGAGTGGATTGAGAGTCATACCATTGAAGGTAATCTCCAATACCAAAATTTGCCCCGAATCCTCGTCGATAAGAAAGCTCAACTAAAAAAAACCTGGAAGGTGGAAACACAACAAGGGTGAGTGGCCCTGGAAATAAAATTTTAATAAAAACCTTCTAAATCGTTATAACCCATCGTTGTAACACCTGTATAGTTTAAAAAATCATACCAGGTATCAATGTAAAATCAAAAGTATATCAACAATAAATCCATAAATATACCACGACACAGCATCTCATGAGCAATATAAATAATCATGTGCTCAATAAATCAATGCTAGAACATAAGTCGAAGTCACCTATAGTGACCTGTTTGACTCGTCCATATCTCATCAATCGATGCTAGTACATAAGTCGGAGTCACCTATAGTGACCTATACGACTCATCCATATCTTATCAATCAATGCTAACACATAAGTCGGAGTCACCTATAGTGACCTATTCAACTCATCCATATCTTATCAATCAATGCTAGCACATAAGTCGGAGTCACCTATAGTGACTTGTGCGACTCATCCATATCTTATCAATCAATGCTAGCACATAAGTCAGAGTCACTTATAGTGACCTGTACGACTCATCCATATCTCATCAATCAATGCTAGCACATAAGTCGGAGTCACCTATAGTGACCTATACGACTCATAGGCAACCTGTACGACAGTGTCGGAGTTGCCTATATAGCTCATTTACCAATTCCTGCACATGAGTCGGAACCACTTAATGTGGTCTGTACGACAAGCTGGGGTGCAAATAAATACACTCAAGTGCTACGATCACGTGAAGCCTAGGCCCTGTCTTCTGAAAAAGCACTAACACCGAGGTGCAGG